ACTCCATCATCCATCCGTCCATCTGTCTGCTGGGTACCCAGGGGTCCCCATTTGCCCTAGGTAACAGAGGTTCACCTTCACAGCACCAGACTCCCAACAAATTTGGTTCCCAAGTGAAACCTGTAATCTGGTAAAGTTTCCGCAAGGGAGACTCATTTATGGAGCCAGGCACCCTCAGCCCCAGCCCAGCGCTCAGCACAGCTACAAGCAAGGTGTCTGGCCGTAAACTTTCCCCTGCCAGACCTGAGCTCCCTCTCTGTGGGCTGTGCACTGCCCTCTGGGCTACAGGGCATGTGGGTATGATGAGTACGGGGGGAGTTTGCTCTAATACTGAAGAAATACTGGACATCCACTGACAAAGGGTCTCCAAGCCCCCCAGCACAGCCCCTTTCCCCCACTATATATCCAGCCCTTGAGCAGCTCTGCCTCCTGGTGAGCATTCACCACAGCCCTTGGTCCTCCTAAATATGCAGGAAACAGAGCTGTGCTCCCTGCTGTCACCAAGACAGGGCAGTGAAAGCCTAACAGTTGCCTAAACAACAAATTTTTTAATTATTTTTGAAAGAAAAAAGAAAAACAACCAAAAAACCACAAACAAAAAAACCCCCAAAACCCATCCTCACTTGGAAAGAAAGTTTCCCTCCTGGGAAAGGCCAAGGGAAAAGACATGGGCAGGGTCAATCTGAGAGGTAGAAAGCAGCAGGGCATCAGCTGCTCCCACTGCCAGGAGGCAAGGCATGCGTTGGAATGCCGTGATGCAGCCCACAGGCCGGTCCCTCCATCCTAAATCTTTCTGTGCCCTTCCCACAGGCCTCCCAGTCTGCCACAAGCTTCCTGTGTCAGCTGGCTCTGCCTTTCAGGGCACATAAAAACACATTAAAGGACATGTCACTTACGCCAAAACATTTAGGCGAATACAGAAATCTTACATTTGTCTCTGTAGCGGGAGTCAGCTGCAAATCAGCTTTAGTGAAATAAATGTAGATAGGGCGATCCTTGACATGCTGCAGTCCACAGGCTTTGTACGGAGTTTGCGAAGCCTCAGGACAGAGCCTTGGCAGGCTTGCCTTGTCCAAATTTCTACTGACTTCTACTTTGTTTTACCCTGGCTTAGCTGTAATACCAATTTTTCCTTCTGAGCAGGTGGTTCTGGCTAATTTTTTATTTTTACTTATCATTGCTTCATACAACCCTAGTTTTACACAAATTGTACTCTGCAGAATAAAGTATTTGTCACCAACATACTGACGCAATATAAAGAAATACAAGCCTGATATGACAGCGGAGACCTTGAGAAGTGCAGACAAAGGATGCTGCGTAGAGAAGTACAGCCACAGGATGATGAGAGATGGGGCAGAGACTTGGCCCTGGAGACTCTACAGCCACAAACAACTCACGAGTGGTCAAATAAAGAAATACAGACCTGAAGGTGTCACCGATGAAAACCAATTTTCTCCAGAGACCAAGTATCCAATGCATGTAAAAATGCATGAGACGTAACGTGGAACCAAACAATGGAAAAAAGAGAGCATCTTGTGGTATGACTGACTTCATCACATACCCAGTTTTTGTTCCACAGACACGAGGTGAGCAGTAGGTGTTCGACAGCAATTTACCGTTACACAGCAATCCTTCAAGAACGAGAGTCAATTTTTCCCTCTTTCCTGCTGCCAGTAACAACTGATCACAACCTACTGAAGATCACTGTACTAAGCAACTCATCTGCCTAGCACCACATGACATTTTTACACGAGTGCCTCCTTTAACCCTCACCCTTTAAACCACCCACTGCTGCAGAGCATGCACATGCCCCTCCTATGCTTCCATTATATGCAAAACACCACCACCACAGTGATTTAGGGGAAGACTCAAGGAAACTGCCACACTTTTCACACACACTCCCCTGTGAAGAACGCAGGGGCCACAAGAGACCCCAAACATGAAGGGAAGTCTCAGTCTCAGAAGGATGCACACTGGCGTGACAGGGAGGAACCCCGGATGGCATGATACGCAATCCTGGCGTTGCAGTGACTGCTGCTCACAGAGATCCCCGACAGCACCAGAAGAGAAGGATCCTCAGGACAAGCCCTGTTCCTAGCAGAGGCTACCACATACATCAAATGCAAACTACTCCTCTATTTAGCAGTCAGTTAAGTAAAATGAGTTTTAAATCAATAAATACACTCTCTCTCTCTCTCTTCCTTAGCCCCATGATCAACCTGCTGCATTTTTAACTTTGAAATACTGTCTCTTTCCTGTTCCTTTTGGAAGACAGATACAGCTGAAAAACATGTATTGAGTCTTTTCAGTCCCTAAAGATTCAAATTACACTATTAAAATTAATCTTTTCTCCATAGGGTATCTTAAGTGCTTAGGACTAATTAAGAGAAACATAAATAGACTTTAAAGAGGCAAACAAAGTATCCTCCCAGATCAGCTGCTTCATTTCTTAGTCACATTCCCACCAGGTCTTCTACGTCGCTATTTTCAAGAAACACAGAACAGAGAGGAATGGACTTTTTACTACAGAAGCAGGAGCACAATTCCTCTCCCTCACTTTCAAGGAAAATATTCAGATCTGTTCTGACTTGTTCAGAAAGGAAAAAAAGTATTTCCCCAATACAAGTAAGGTAAATAAGAACTTGGAGACTTTCGGCACATGAGAGGGCATTAAAAAAACCTGCACTGGCCTGCACTTCTAAACACCATCTCCACTAGCAGTACTCGCTGCTAGTTTCTGTTTGATACCAGTCAATATGAACAACTTGTCCAGTACAGATTGACCCCACTGAATGGCCAGAGTGTTGGGCCACTGAGACTCATAAGGAGGTGGTATTTCAATGTTTCTTTTATCACAACAGCAGATAAATACAATTTACCACCTTCTGGATCCTAATGCACTGTATTGCACAAGTCATCCTCAAAACAACTGCATCAGAAGTTGAAAAAGGAGGTAACTTTCCCTGGGAAAGATCATGATGAATAAAGGAAACAGACACACACTCATCCAGAGCAGGGAAGCTCAGAGCACTGAGTTCAGTCTTAACAAGACAAATTTCACAGAAACACAAAATGCTGGTTGGAATGCAGCTCCAGAGGTCTCCAGCCCAACTTCCCGCAGGACTATCACCAGCAAGCGAAGCCATGGGCTGTCTTGTTTCAAAACGAACTGGTGCAAAGCCACCCAGACAAACGCAGAGCTAGTAGGTACCAAAAGTCAGCTCTGTAAGGAAAGGGATTCCAGGAATTCCAGGATTGTGGGGAAAAAATCAAAGGCGAAGAAAGGCTTTTTAGAAACAATGCTGACACTTGCAACCACTCCATGAAAATAAAGTCATTACTGCCGGTGTGCCATTTATCACAGACACTAACATTATTGATAGCACCTTGGATTTCACACAGCCTCGAATTGACAGAAGGCTTAAAGTGTGAAATTTCCTTTGGAAGCCACTCCTATTGCCTACTGCAATGAAGCCAGCCAGCACAAACAGGAAAAAAAACTAGCTTCCTTTTCAGCTGTTGAGTTTAATTTTACTAAGACACTTTGTAAAACACCCACTGTAAACTGATACAGAAAAATTCTTGCTGATTCTTTCAAACAGAAAAAAACCCAAATCTCTTTAAACTATCTACTATTTGGGGGGGGGAATGTATCTTGGAACTTTAGGAATCTTCCTTCCTTGACAGAGGTTTATCAGAAGAGTGCAATCTTAGACATACTCTATCACAGCAACCTTCCCGATACCCTCAGGAGGTCACCATAGTATGGGGCAGCTTATGTGGACCCACACTAATTTATCATGTTTTATAATTACTCTGGAAGAGGTTAAGTTTACTGTTTTTCAGGATTTTGGAAAGATGGAAGTTTACCATAGACATTGCACCTTCCCCTGGACAGGAACATTCTCTTCCAACCCCCAGACACAGAAGAACACTGGTACTACCAGAAGGAACGTGTGTGTTCAGTTTGAAACACTCTGGGATTTGCACCAAGAACTTTCTGTTTTGTCTCCTGTGGGCCATTCTCTGGGGTTCAGCTACCTTAAAAAAGCGCACACAGCTTATGGTTTGCACTACCATAGACAAACACTACATTCTAAAAAGAGATAAAACAGAGCAAGAATATGAAGCTTGACCAGTATACAAAGTTCTGATGATATTCTAGTCAAACTTAACTAAGGAGAAAAAAATACATTGCTTATACAAACTAATCTTTATTTTCAAATGCTGCACTGCATAAAATTTATCTGACAGCCCTCTGCATGGGCACAGACCCCCTTCATCCTCCCCATTTCACTAGTCAGCATAGCACAATCAGCTGACTATGCATAAACTCATTTAGACCAGAAGCAAAATCTATTTGCAACCCATTACTCATTTTTTCAGAAGTTAACAGCATTCACCTGGAAAAATCCCCATGAAAAAAATATTCATTTCCATATTCAAATGAAGAAGAGATCAGGCACACTACAGGGCTGGTCCCATGCCTGGAAGCTCCTGATTCTTGCAGCGCTCTTCACCTTCTTAACCTTGATAAAGAAGTACTCTCAAGGCTCTCCTGCTTATAATATTGTAACTGCCTCTCCCAGAAGGCAAAACAGTGCAGAAAAACAGAGGGCAGGGGTCGTCTGAGTATGCCATGGCCCACATGGCTTCTCATCTCCTGCAGTGACTGTCCTTCACTGATGTCTTGCCAACAGTTACCAATTAATTTTGCCAACAATACACGTTTTTCCCAAATGAAGTTTTCCATTTTCTGCTCCCATCAATGTTTCAGAGAAGTCCCAAATTTCATTCTGTAGCCTGGATCGTGCTGCAAATAATATCCATGGTAAAGGCTCTATAGAGATTTTTGATAATGGTATTTTGCAGAAGTATGGTTGCCTTCCTTATTTGGAAGGAAAGAGGCATGTCGTGACAGGATGTTATGCTTGTATGCTTCTGCTTTAACTCCAATGCCCAATTACAGCCAAACCTACAGGTGATGTTCACATTGTGGTTTAGGATCTGTACTTTCTCATGTGTGCAGCAATAGAAGCAGCAATCTCAGTGCTCCTCTTATTCTGGCCGTAATAGTCCACAAAGTCACCATCTGGCCCAAGGAGGTACATTATTATTGTGTGATCCACCTGCAAGAGAGCACATCGTGGCTTGGTAAAAAAAGATCATAGAATCATCAAATACCATCTGGTCCAACCTTTCTTGGCAAAAGCACAGTCTAGACAAGATGGCCCAGCATCCCATCCAGCCGAATCTTAAAAGCGTCCACCACTTCCCTGGGGAGATTATTCCAACGGCTGATTGTTCACATTGCAAAAAATTTTCCTCCTGTGTCCAGTCAGAATCTCCCCACATGTAACTTGTAGCCATTACCCCTTGTCTTTTCCATATGACTCCTTTTAAAAAGGAAGTTTCCATCTTCTTTGTAGCCACCCTTTAAATACTGGAACATCCTGCACATCTCTCAAAGTCAGCAGCAACAGCATCCCGTTCAGGCTTTGGTTCAGCTGACAAGACTTCTCACCAAGAAGCCAAAGCAAGATATGGAAAAGCTCTGCATCACCTCAGCGACCTCTTCTTGTTTTACCCAAGAACATAAATAGAGAAAAATAGCTGCATACTGAGAATGTGTGAATGAATACATTAAGCAGACAAGTCTTCCCTATGCTGCCAGTACCTTTCTTGCAGCACAGACAAGGCTGGGGCCAGCCTGCGGGCTAATGGTCTTTCCCCATCGCTTTTCAAGTTTCCTTCTACTTGTCATGATGCTTCATAATCCCCACAAGGTATTCAAGCTCCTGCTGCTCATATGATGTAAATCCAATATAAACAGAGGTATTTCATTAAACCAAGTTCACTGTCAGTGCAAACAATGGGACCAAGAGGATCAGTGGGATACAGGAGCAGCAACTAGAGGAGCAGGCGCAGAGGGAGATAGGTGTGCTGGGAGGGGGCTCCCTCTACTGTTGGAATTAAAGTAACCTTAAAAAACGTTCAAAGTAATAATCACTTGAATGTTGAAGTATTGCAATTTGACTTATATAAAAATTAACTCCACTGTAAATTTATTTAAAATGCCACTCCAAGTACTGTCTGCATCTAACTGTGACAATATCTTTATGAGCAAAGACACAAAATACTGAAAATAAAGGCCATGAATCTGTGATTGCTCAAGTGACTACATCTTCTCACTGCCGCTGGAGAAGAACTGGAATGTACTTATGCATTGAGAGTACAACTATGCTAAAAGGACGCATTAAACATAATGGGACTTCTGTCAGTGAAAGAATGTTTCTCAAAATTTTATTGAGGAAGGTTTAATTCAAGTATTTTAATTTAGTTTCAGATGTTCAAGGTAAGATCACAAAATCAAGTTCTAGAAGACAATTTTCTTTAAGCAATCTGAATCACAATTTAGATCCTTCAACTGGAAAAAAAAGTAAAAATCAGGTAGCCCGTGCAGAGCATCTTAACTCTCCGGCCTATGGAAGATCATATACAGTCAGGCTGGAGTGCAGTTCGTGTGCAAAAGACCACTGTTTTCCAAGCTGTGCCTGAAGCCTGCACTGTTCCCACTGTATGCACATAAGATCATCATTTGAGTTTGAATGCAATCTTGTAAACCACATAATAAAACAAGTAAATTGGATATTCTGGTATTGAGAATTATAAAATTGAGATTATTAAATAAGAGCTCATAATATTCAAGTAATACTTGAAAAATTCAAACAGAAATTTAGAAATTGTAATTTCTAAATGCTCATCTCAATGCTCTTTTCAAGCCAAAACAAGCAGCAAAGTTTAATTGGCTGTAGTGGGCCTCTTCCTGTCCCTCACCTCCCAGCAGCCTGCAGAGGAAACAGAACCTGCTCCTGCACAAATGTCAGTCTTAATCACCAACCGGCACGACACGTCCATGCAAGACATAATAAGGAAAAAAAAAGCCTTAGTGGAAGAAATGGCAGAGTAATAATTACTTGGATAAGTCTCAGGTAGGCACAAACCCAGCCTCAAGCTCTCCCTCCCAGGTCTGCTGTTGCTGCTATCCATTCCATATTTTGTTTCAGAGATGTGTGCCCTCTGGCCTTCCTGCCCTGAACACAGAGAGCTCACTGTGTCTCAAAACCCAGAAGGGATGCATCCTGAAGGGATGCAAGTATACACCCTTCTTCCTTGGCACCATGTCTGGGGCTCCCAGGCTGCTCTCTTGCTCCCAATTCACTGGCCTTTCTTCCTCACTGCCCTTCCCTTCCCTCAGACTCACAACCCTAGCATGGACCAGCAGTATTCTCCCTGGATCCTGAATCCCTTCTCCTACTTCATTACATGTGTAGTCACATCCTCCAATTTGGTTTCACCCTCCAGCCTCCCTTCAATCTGCTGTCATCTACAGTTATTTTCCTCTGCCGAACCCCTGTACTTTCCCTTCACAGCCAGGCCAGAATCCAGGTGTGGTTTGCTAGAATCTACATGTGGTTTACTTTTCTGGCCTCCTTCCACAATCTCTCCTCAACTTCAGTTCACTCATTTAGTGTCAGATTCTACTGAGTTTTTCCCTCTCCTGAGCATGCATCCTTTGCCAATCCTGTTCTTATAACCTATTTTTGCATTTCCACTAGCCCCCTTTTATAAATCTGATTTTAAGCAGTATTTTTAGATTGATTTCAGATCGATGCTAGATTGATTTAAAATGGTGTTGAATTTCTCCAGCAAGCTTCTCTCCGTCATTCAAATATAGCATCTTAGACACAGATTTCTGTAGCTAGAGTTGCCACTTCAAGTGAGAACAAGTTCTTGATCTCTCACTTCGCACCCCTTTTAGCAATGTGGAGCAGTGCACATCGCCAGCGTGATTCCACCTCCTCTTTACTGAGATCATGTGCTGCTCTTGCTGTTTTTTTCTATGCACTACTTTTTTGTTCCACCAATCTTTCTGTCCCCGTGGATAATTTATTTGCTGCAGTCAGGTGGTTTTAAAAAACAGATTAAACAATACTGGATTAGACCAAAACCAATCTGCCTCAGCATCCTACCTCAAATAGTGACCAACAATGTTTGCTTTAAAGAAGAATATAAAACCAGCACCAAAAATATGCTATCTTCCTCTATTACCTCCCAGTTTCCAAACACTTTTAGCTCACAGGCTGCCTGAACTAGGCAAGATTTCTGTGCATTTCATAATCTTCAACAGATTGTATCTTCCAAAGACTAACAACAAGTCTCCCTGTGGACTCCCATAAACTTCTACCATTTGCATCTGTAGCAAGGGATTCCAGTTTTCACGTGCCCATTACAAGAAGAACCTTTCCTTTTGAGCCTGTTTTTAGTTTTCTCTGATGTCTTTAGTTCTTGTAATGAAGAAAAAAAAAATGAAGATCACATAACGTGCATCCTCACTTGTCGTATCACTTGTTCCTACTTTACTCTTCGAGTCTGCTCAGGACGTGGCAGGTCAGGAAGACCTTGGCAGCAGCTTTCAGCCCTATAACCAGACCTATTCACTTCCAGAGAGTAAGATTTTGACCACCCTGTTTAGCCTCACTTAAACCTCATTTTCCCCCTTCACACTATTACTCTACGTATTTTATTCCCACTTAATTTAGCATTAACATGCTCTCTCTTACAGGTCATTTGACACAGGAGGAAGATCCCCACAGTATCGCCAGCAAGTCAAGGGAGGTTCTCCTCCCCCTCTACTCTGCCCTGGTGAGGCCACATCTGGAGTTCTGTGTCCAGTTCTGGGCTCCCCAGTTCAAGACAGACAGGGAACTACTGGAGAGAGTCCAGCGGAGGGCCGCGAGGATGATGAGGGGACTGGAGCATCTCTGGTATGAGGAAAGGCTGAGAGAGCTGGGGCTGTTTAGCCTGGAGAAGAGGAGAATGAGAGGGGATCTGATCACTATTTATAAATATCTAAAGGGTGGGTGTCAAGAGGAAGGGGCCAGACTCTTCTCAGTGGTGCCTAGTGACAAAGGGCAATGGGCAGAAACTGGAACACAGGAAGTTCCACCTGAATATGAGGAAAAACTTCTTTACATTGAGGGTGACCGAGCACTGGAACAGGCTGCCCAGAGAGGCTGTGGAGTCTCCTTCTCTGGAGATATTAAAAACCTGCCTGGATGCAATTCTGTGCAACCTGCTCTGGGTGATCCTGCTTTAACAGGGGGTTGGACTAGATGATCTCCAGAGGTCCCTTCCAACCCCTACCAGTCTGTGAATCTGTATCAGCAGACAGACTTTACATCACTCAAGTCTCTCACCAGGAAGCTCCTTGGTGCCAGTTTGGCAGGGAATGAGTTGTTACTTGCTTTTACCTCTCATTTCTTCCTCTTCCTATTTCTTCATTTCCCAGTTCCATTTTCACTTTGGAACACACAAGAAAACAGCCAGACAAAAACATTACACGACAGAACAAAGTTCAAATTACTGCCAGGCTTGCTAGCTCACATGCTATTCTGTATGCAGGCCTGGGATTGTACAGTTTTAGAATGTGTTTCAGTGAGGTTCTGAGCTTGTAAGAGGGCAACTTGATTCTGACTAAAACACAGCTTAACACAGTGGTGCCACAGGGCTCTGTCACATAGGACTTCAGTATAGATTGGAATAGCTGCCTTCTGATTTTAAAAATCTATATGCTGCTCTTATCCAAAATCTTTCATTACGCAAAGGCTCTGTTTACTTACTATGTAATCGTCGTCTTCGTCTTTGGGACCTTCGCTGTAATACACACGGTAAGCTTTGGCCACTTGGTCAATCTGTGCCTTCGTACCAGTCAATCCAATCAGCTTCGGAGAAAATTCTGGATAGAAAGAAGACATTTAGACATTTTAGTGAAAAGAATCCTATCAAGAGCCTGCTTTTCAGTGCTCTACATTACATGCTTTGACATCAAGGAAGAAAACAGTAATACCTTTAACATATCTGGCAATGGCTTCTTTGTTGTCCCTCTCAGGATCAATGGTGATGAAGAGCGGGGTCAGATTAGGCAAAGATGGAATTCTATCTGTGACATTAACAATTATTATTTTTGTTAGAAAATTAAAAAATATTTCTCACCTCCCTTCAAACAAGCTCATAGCCAAGCTGCTGTAACATCTATCAAAGCCCATCCTAAGTAACAAAAAAAGGCCATTTTGTGCAGCTTAATTTATGTAATTTGTGAATGAAGCAAATGTCATGAAATCCAACACTCTGTGCTTGTGTTGGGTGCAGCTACACTTCCTGCCTTTCAGCTGGACACCCGTCCTGCTTAGGAGGGATGACAAATTGGCTCTGATGCAGAAAATGCCGTGGCGTCATGCACGTATCAAAGCACAATGGTCAACACAATGAACGCATGCCTGTGACGGTGGAGCGGGACTATAGGTGAAGACACAATTCAGGCTATTTCCCTCATGTTTCAGCCACAGTCTTCACTATATTTTCTTCACTCTAGTCCGCCCTCCCGCCTGCTTGGTTACTATTATCCCTGCTCTGTAACTCTTCAGGGCTGCAGGCTGAGAACAACACCTCTATCACACAACCTTCCCCCAAACTTCATTCTACAGCACAGTCACTCTCAGAAGAGACCCTCACAGACATTTGTTTTCAGAATTAATAAAATTGAGGGGGGAAAAAACCCTAATACACTCCACAACCACTCCTTGGCAACAACACAATGCAACGGCACTGTTCCCTGTAACCTGCCACCATCATGTTTTATTACCAAGAAGTCCCCTCTTGTGGAAAGATCAGTGCTGTCATGCTCTAAACATCAGATCCTAGTGATAGGCAGACTGAGCTATGTATCGCTTAGCAATTAATTCAACTACTGAACAGTAGTCAACAGCATTTTTAGAAAAAGATCACCAGTTATGACCACTTGCGATATTTTACAATAAACCTGGGCCTCTCATAAAAAGGACCAACAACTACGCCAACCAAATTCCCATACCAATTTCATCTACCACTTCAATCATTTTCTCCAGTTCATCAGGACAGATGTCAGGGCAGTGTGTAAAGCCGAAGTAGATCAGCACCCACTGGCCGATGTAGTCCTTGCTGGTCTTGGGCTGTCCCTCATGGCTGACGAGTGAGAAGGGCCCTCCTAGCAGGGGTTTCCCAATGCCTCGGTTTCGTTCCTTCTCCAGCTCTACAAAAAACAAGAGGGGATCAAACACATCCATGCCATGACCCACGGTGCATCCCCAGAGAGCCTCAGCAGTCAAGAGTCAGAGAACCTCGTGGAGTCACGGCCCGGGTCGCCAAAACATCAAGATCTACCAACGCTCATCATGCAGAAGCCCAATGTGGACAAGATACCCAAATTCATTCCATTTTGGGCAACATCAAATATATCACTTAATTCCTTTGAAATGTAATCTCTTTCATTGTCATCTGATCATACCAGACAGGTACCTGGCTTGGTGTGAAACAGAAAAATTAGCATCCTCTGCAAACTGAACATATCCTAAAAGCTGTAATATCTCTGATTTTCAACACGAAAAACATGAAAATGAAATGTGTGGGCAGTTACTGCAGGACATCTTAACGCATGCATATGCTGGACAGAGAGGAAGGAAACCAACTGGCAGCAGTGAGCATAATCAAACACAACTATTCCAACAGCAAAGGCATATTTAAGAATTTTAAAATGCTAAACCTTAAAGTGTTTGGTAGGTTTTTTTCTTAATTTTTGAAAATTTCCTGTGGCACTTACATACACACAGGCACAAAAT